TCACTTTCCAACAAACTCTCCTGTGACACTGGGAATTTCTCCCGCCTTCACAACCCCCACAATATTTTACAGCTAGAGGTTTTGAGTCTTTAGCTTCCCAGTGAGTCAGCCCCTCCTTGCCTATGTGGTACACTGCCTTGCCATGTGTCCTCTCCACCCAACCATCTGCCTGTCTCTGCCCCTCCTACCAGTCTGGATGAATGTTTCTTTAACTGCTTGGTTGTTGGAGTTCCATGCAGTTTACTATTCTGGCAGTCCTGGTTGTTTATTGTTTTTAAATTGGTTGTTATCCTTCTTTTGGTTGTACAAGGAAGTGAAGCATTTCTACCTATGCCTCCATCTTGGCTGGAACTCCTTGGATTCATAATGATCTTAACAACCACCCATTATGGAACACTTACTAGGAGCCAGTCACAATACACTTTATGTATGTTAGCTCATTTTATGAATTAGGTTCAGAGGTGAGCCTAAGAAAGAAATTGAGGTTCTGAGATGCCGAGATTGTTCAACTAGAGATAGGCAAAGTCAGCATTCAAGTCAAGGTCTGCTTGACTTCCCACTATACTTCTCTCAGTTATTATCATTTCCATAAATATCATGGCTACCTGAGGCTGCCCTCCACTTGGTTGCTGAGTGTAATGGAAAAGCCTAATACAATAGTCAACAGTAGTATCCTACATCATGTGCACAATTAAGCAAAGCACTATGTGCTCTATCCAAAGCTCCTGGCCTCAAGGAATTTGCAGTACAATGGAGTAGGAGCTCTATACAAAATAAATATATATAGCTAATGGATTTTATACATGCCCAAAACAGCCAGTTTGAAAACATAACAAGGAACAAAACTTCATTAACAAAAGCAGCCAAAACACCTCCCCCCACAAAATTTTAAAATTTGTGAAGCCTTTGTGAAGAAATGTAGAGAGCTTTTACAGGAAGATATAATAAAGAATGACTAGGAAGACAACCTTCATTCCTGGATGGGAAGACTCAATATTCTAAATATATTCATTATCTCCAACTTGTTAAATTTAAAGCAACTTGAACTACAGTTATTGAATCATTGTGATATAAGCACAGAAATAACTCTAAAATCCAACTTACAATGTATAGGGTGTAATTAAGTCTATGGTAAAAGTGACATTCCAAATTAGTGAAGAAAATAGTCAATAAATTGTATGAAACAACTGGCTGTATATTAGGGAAACACAAATTCCTATCTCACAAAAGACAAAAACCAATTCCAGGTGGATTAATGTTTTAAATATTAAAACACACAAAAGTAACAGGAGAAAAATAAGAGAATATTTTATATGAGGCTAGGAAAGGAAGCCTTGACTAAAATGACACTAAGGTCCAATGTCATAAACAAATATTGACATGTTTGACTATGTAAGAAGCAAAAATGTCTGCAAAAAATATACACAAAAGAGAGAAAGAAAGAGAGGAAGAAGGAAGGAAGGAAGGAAAGAAAGAAAGAAAGAAAGAAAGAAAAGCTTCAAAGGAAATACTTAAAAAATATATCATTGTCAAAGAAAACAACATACACATTTAAAACTGAAAAAAAGATTCCAGAAAAATGTGTATGCATGTACTCATTAATTTCATTTTGTATTCATTAATTTTAAATATAAAAATACATAAAAAGGAAAAGGTAAATTAAATTATTGCAGTGGTTATTTTATGGGATGGTAAAAATAGAGAGACTTCTACAGGGATATTGTTTGAATTTCCACAGCGGTCACACACTACAAAAAATATATATATAAAAAACATCTCCAACCCTGACTGCTGTAGCTCAGTGGGTTGGGCATCATCTTACAAACCAAAAGGTCGCTGCTTCATTCCTGGTCAGGACACATGCCTAGGTTGCAGGCCCGGTTTCCTGTTGGGGGTGCACAAGAAGCAACCACACATTGATGTTTCTCTCCCTCTTTTTCTCCCTCCTTTCCTCTGAAAATAAATAAAAATCTTTTTAAAATAACATATATATATTTAGATTTTAAAAAACAACAACAAGTAAAAGAGAACTTTTACTTACTTATAGGAGAACGTCAATACTTAATAAGATAAATTCTGCATTAGTGAGTATTTGAAAATTTCCATCTTGTGGAATATTTGCAAACTCTCTAGTAACCTCAGAAATAGGATGATTCAAAAATTAGTGACTTTCCTTTCTGAAAAGATCACCTCTAAAAAGCAATGCCAGTAGATTTGCTAGTCAATGAAAGTAGTCATGAGGCCTGAAATCTTGTTTCAAAAGAAATGAACAGTGAGTGATGAAATGCCCCATTTCTCCTTCCCAGAGATCTAGCTTCTCACCATTCTTTCTGCTCCATTGCCCATGTTTTGACAAACTATCAACGGAAGGATGGAAATACCTGTGGTGTTTTATATTACCTGCTGTGGTTTTTATTCTCAGTTATCCCATTTCCATAAAAATGAAGAACAAAGAAAATAGAGGATGTAGAGGAAGAACAGAGGAGGAAGAAAGAGCAGGGAAAGAAGAAAAAGATGCTCAACTCTTAATATTTCCCAAACAGATTTTGGAAACTCCCTGAAAAGAGAGTATATGGACAGCAAGAGCCAACATTAATGCTATAAATTGGGAGAAATGCCTGGGGTGACAGAAGGTTCCCTGCTAGACTTGCTGGAGTTTCCATAGGCTGGAGGGAGGCAGAGAGTCAGAAGAAAGCAATCCAACTCATCACATAGTGCCCACTGGAAGGGAAGGAGTGATAGACTATAGTGATGAGAAGATGCCCAGTACATTGGGGATCCAAGAGCTTGCTTCCCGGGTAAGGTGAAGTCTAATCTAAGAGCTGCTCCCAACAGGACCACAGAATGACGGCACAACAGGAGGGCTGGCAGCATGGTTTGTTGGCCAGAGAGACCTGGTACAGCCTCTCCAGGTTCCCAAAGCCTCACAATGGTTCAGAAAGTTTTCCTTGCCCCCAACAGGGCCACAAAAGTGGCTGAGAGAGAACCAGAGCACCTGACAGGACCTTGAGGTTCCAAGAAGAGTAAGTGAACTGATGATCAGTGACAGATAAATAACAAACATTAGCAGCTAATGCCACCTTAAAGAAATGAAGGTTGTAAATCAAAAGATCTCCCGCACCACCAAGTTCCCCACATACAGAGATGCCACCCCATATAGAAATAAGGGAAGGGGGAGTTCGAGAGTTAACTGAGGAAACCCAATATTGGCTAGATTAAGCCTCAGATATCTGGTAAAATGGCACTCTAAGACAGTTATGTGATAAATTACATTATATATGGCTATAGGCTTGAATTTGTGGATTGTGCACACAGGATAGTTTTTATGACAAGGTGAAACTGACAAGAGAGGTCCCATATACACCTCTCCAACTATCAGCTGCTCCTTATCCTTAGGACAGTTCATGATTTTATTACCCAGTCACCTTCAGATCCCCTGTTTAATAAACAGAAGGTGCACTGCAATATGACCAAGTTTGTTCTGTTTATTTTTACTGCAAGCAAAAATATACCAACACATTACCTCAGAATTAACATATTTCATTTTCTCACACATAAGTTATGTAACTAGAGCTTTTAATTCAGTCACCCCCACCTATACCACCGGCATTATCTCTAAGCTGATAAGACACCTTAGCTCAAGATTTCCTTTATGTGGAAAGATACACGAACTCGACAAGGTATTTTTCTCAAGAGCTACAGTCCACACCAGTTTTGCTGCTTGCTTGTTAAATCCATTTTGACTGTACTGGTTTAATATAAATTCAATTACTACCTGTCTTCATCTGCTGCCAGGCACACCAGAAGGACATTGTTCTTCCTTTTAAGTTACACCATTGGGAGCAAGAAAGCAATTTTCATTAATGTACTTATCACATAAAGATTGCAATTCCTTATCTATATATGCTAAGAATTGTGCATAATTACTTAATTTGAACTTGACAAGTGTCCTCATTTTATAGATTAGGATACTGAGTTTCAGAAAGGTTAAGTTGCACTAAAGGCCCAGAATAAATAGCAATGTCTATATCTGAATACAAGTTCTATCTGATCTCTTTCCACTCTTCCACAACACCTTGCTAATGAAAACACATGTTTATCTTAAGCTTATACATTAAAAAATTCTTGTCAAGAAACTCGAGATCTGATATAACGAAAGTTATTCTACTAATACTACCCTTCTCATCTCCTGTTCACTCCACCATATGCCTTTCCTCTGCCACCCTCACTTATATCCATTCCCTAAACTCACCTGCCTTCCTTCAAGCCTTAAAGATCTGTTCCTCTGCTTGGACTGTCCTATCTTTCCTTCCCACTTAGAGGATTCCAACCCACCCTCTAAGTCGGACATTGGCTTTGAAAGTTTTGCTCCCTCTCCCAAGGATTAACTGCCTACACTCCAGCTTTTGCAACCTACTTTATGTTTCCATCATAACACACACACATACAGCACTCAAGATTGGCATTTATCTGCATGTGCCTCTGTAACCACTTCTAGAATAAGACGAATTCCTCAAATTGAGGGTCTGAGGCTTAAAACTATGTATACTTGGTAATCTAAGGAAGTTAGCGCATTGTGGGATTTGAACTAATGCTTGTTCAGTTAATTAATGAATTTTCTTTTTAATCAGGGTCTATATTTAACATGTGTTAGGTTATGGTGAACTCTATGTACTAGGTGGGCACTGTGAAGTAAACTGGCTCTTATATAATTTTGAGAATGACCACAAGGAAGAGCTTCACTAACCCAAAGCTAGTTTTCCAGAGACTCGCTGACTGTCGCCCTCCACAGCCCCCTGCCTCCCGCCACTCCTCTGCTGCTCCACCAGCGTTTATCACAGGCTTAGCCCAGGCAAGGAAAAGCCCCACCTCCCTCCCTGCCAATCAATCGCCCCAGGCACCGCCCCTGTCCCCGAGCCCCGCCCCCAGTCACTGCCTCGAGACTGTCGCAGGCGGTTAGGTCCTTCCTCCGGGACCTTTCCTTCACTGGGCCGCCCACTATGACAATCACCTACAGCTGCATTGCTAACGGCCGAGCGATCCTAGCGGATCTGGCTTTGACAGGCGGCTCCTATCAGGTATTCCTAAGTCATCACCTCTGCCTTCCTGTGTTCTGCTTTTGAAAGGTGGTGCTGGCTAGGCTCGCCCCTCCGGACGCAGGGACGCGATGAGTTGGAACAGAGGCCTCTTCCTGGTACTTGGCGGAGTCAGCTAGGCGGTGAATCCCTGGCTGGAGCCCCTCGACCTCCAAAACAGCGGAGCCGCAAGTTCGCCGCCTAGTGGTTAGAGTTGGTCCTGCACGTGACCCATTTGGCGGTGATTAACAGCCAAATTCAATCCCAGAGACCCCCTTAAGGGTTTTCTCACCCCTGCGAAGAAATGACCGGTAGCTCAAGACACACTTATTAAGCATGTGTTAGTTGCGTGATCCCTGAAAGGGTGGGGAATGCAGCAATAAAGAGAAGACAACACCTGGAGTTGTCACTTGATGAGCTCGTCCTTTTATGTCCAAGGACTGTATATAGGTGTCCTACAGTGTTAAATATATTTCAGTGACTGCTCCTATAACACTCAGGATGGGTAGCTGCTTACTGATCACAGAAGAGGAAATTTTAGGGTGCTTTGCACAGGAAAGGGAAATAGTGCCTTCGTGCAGAGGAAACAGCCGACCTAAAGAACCTCAGAGCTAGCACACAGGGTCCTAGTATAGTATATAGGGGCTAAAGATGAAGTCAGAAAAGCAGGAATAGGATAGTTAATGAAGCATCCTATTTTGTTTTCTTATCCTAGAGAAACTGGGAAGCAATTAAATATAAATAAAGGATTAGCATGATCATCTTCTGGTAAATTTGGTCCGGTTACAATCCAGAAGGTGGATTGGAGGAGAGACCCAGTTAGGGTGGTACTGTTATAGTTTATGTAGAAGATCTAAGGGCCTGAGCTAAGTCAATGACAGTACAGATAGAAAGGAGGGGGAAGATCCAAAAACAAGACTTTGTAAAACTAATCCTTGGGAATTTGTGACAGAGTTATGCCTAGGATTATTCTTATTTTTCCCCCAGTTCTATTGAGATAGAATTGACATATAACATTGTGTAAGTTTAAGGTGTGCAAAGTGATGATTTGGCACTTTTTTCCTTGGATGTGAAAGTAGAAAATACAGATGAACAGGACTGTGGGGGAATCAATGCAGGGGAGGAGAGTATGGTTGAGGACAGGTTGAATTTTGTTGTCTGTTGAAAATAGCAAATCTATTTGTGTATTTATTCTCCTGTCTATTCCCAAAAGCTTTAAGTGATCAAAGTGTTCAATAGGTAGCACTCAGAGGGTCAGGGCTAACAGTCGAATATAGTGGAAGTGGGTAAGATTGCTGGAGAAAAGTGTAGGGAGTGAAAAGAAAGGAGGACCAAAGGCAGAACACTGTTTAAGAACAGAATAGATAGGTGAGTCAATGACATGAGCAGTGAGAGCAGTGGTGTCCTGACCAAATGAGAGCAGTGGTGTCCTGAAAGCCAAAAAAAGAAAATTACATGAATGTTTCATGCCCCAGAGAATTTGAACAAGATCTAAAAGGTGTTTACTGGACTCAAGAGTTATATGATTGGTGACCTTACAGTTAGCAGTTTGTAGAAGTGGTAGAGGCAGAAGCCAGATTGCTTTAAGCCAGGTGAATGGGAGATGAGGAAGTAAGGAGAGTGAAGTTAGATCATTCTTTCAAGAATTTAGAAAGGGAATGAGATACAGTGAAAGTTAGAAGAAGCATGGCCCAGAAAGGGGCCTCATTTTTTAGTACAGAGGAAACTTTTACATGTATGTATGCTAATGGGAAGAGTTGGAGATATAAGAGAGGAGGGAGCTGTTGGTAGAGCAAGACCTGAAGAAGCAAAAAGGAATGGAATCCAATGTGGCAATAGGTATGTGAGCCTTGGATTCAAGGAATGGCCTCTTTCTCTTGCGGAACTGAGGGGTGTGGATATAGACACACAGAACTTGGTCTTTTTGGGGGGCTCTCCTCTTCCCCAACCCTTCAAATGCTATTTTCCCCAGAATACTACCTTCAGTCCTCTTTTAACTGGACACATTCGTTCACAACCATGGCACCTTTACTTTGATCACTGTCAAATCCACTTCCAAAGTAATTTGTCTCCATGGTTAGATTGCCTAATAGAAGAACTAAATTAGTTCTTTCCTAACTTATTCCTCCTTGCATTTTTCTAATCTTTCTGAGTAGCTCTACTGAGGCATTCAAGGTGGAAACTGGGAGTCACCTTCAATTTTTCTTTCTTTACCTTTGCATTGGTTTTCTGTCACCAAGTTCTGTTAGTTCTATCTCCTGAGCATGTCTTGAATCCATTTCCTTGTTTCTGAACCATGTCAACAAATAGGCCCTCATTCATGTCACCAAGGGTTACTGAAAGTGCCTCCTAACTGATCTGTCCCAGATTTCAGCCTTATTCCTCTCAAAACCAACCTCCATACTGCTGCTCAAGTGGTTGTTCCTAAAAGCAAATGTGATCATGTCACTCCCCTGCTTAAAATCATTTGGTGGTACCTACTTACATACAGAATAAAGCCCATACTACTTAGCCTGGCATTCAAGGCCCTCCCTGGTAGGGCTTTTCAATGATTATCTCCTCTTGTCCCACATATCTTTGTGCTCCAGCTATCCTGACCTTCATACTCTTCTACAGTCTCACCGGCGTCTCCCTCTAATCTCTTCCCTCTCTCCAGAACCCTCTTGTCTCCATTTTTTAAGTGCAGTATACACTCTTCTGCATTTTGAGACTTTTCTCATTTCCTCCTGAAGCCTTCTCTATGCCCAGGCTAATTTACACTCCTTTATCAAACTACTTACCAGGCTGATATAGAATCTTCTTTTACTAGTCTCTGCTGTCAGACTCCTTCAGAGCAGGGACTGTCTTCCTCTCTGTCTTTATATAGTAGGCCCTCAATAAATGTTCAATTAATTAAGAAAGGAGAAAAACAGAAAGTTGAAGGAGTTTACAAGCCCCATGGCCACTCTTTAAGAACCATGCAGGGAGGTGAGGAAGCATAAGGGGGTGGAGCAGCATGCATTTGGAGGAAAGGATTAAAGGTTTAGAATGACTGCTGTGTAAAAAGCTGACCAGGGAGAAGAAAAGTGAAGACAAGATGTTTTGTTTTTTATTTTTTTTAAGTTTTGAAAGTACTGTATTTCTTTTTTATAAATATACTTTATTGATTATGCTATTACAGTTATCCCATTTCCCCCCTTCACTCCCCTCCACGCTGCACACCCCCTCCCACCCACATCCCCCCTTTAGTTCATGTCCATGTGTCATACTTATAAGTCTTTAGCTTCTACATTTCCCATATTTTATACTATTCTTGCCCTCCCCCTGTGTATTTTCTACCTACCATCTATGCTACTTATTCTCTGTACCTTTTTCCCCTCTCTCCCCCTCCCACTCCCCTGTTGCTAACCCTCCATGTGATCTCTATTTCTGTGCTTCTGTTCCTGTTCAAGTGTTTGCTTAGTTTGTTTTTGTTTTTGTTTTAGGTGTGTTTGTTAATAATTGTGAGTTTGCTGTTATTTTACTATAAATGTTTTTTATCTTCTTTTTCTTAGATAAGTCCCTTTAACGTTTCATATAATAAGGACTTGGTGATGATGAACTCCTTTAACTTGACCTTATCTAGGAAGCACTTTATCTGCCCTTCCATTCTAAATGAAAGCTTTGCTGGATAGAGCAATCTTGGATGTAGGTCCTTACGTTTCATGACTTGGAATACTTCTTTCCAACCCCTTCTTGCCTGCAAGGTCTCTTCTGAGAAATCAGCCGACAGTCTGATGGGAACTCCTTTGTAGGTAACTGCCTCCTTATCTCTTGCTCCTTCTAGGATTCTCTCCTTCATTTTAATCTTGGCTAATGTAATTATGATGTGCCTTGGTGTGTTCCTCCTTGGGTCTCTGCTTGGAACTCTCTGAGCTTCTTGGACTTCCTGGAAGTCTATTTCCTTTGCCAGATTGGGGAAATTCTCATTTACTATTTGTTCAAATAAGTTTTCTACTTGTTGCTCTTCCTCTTCTCCTTCTGGGACCCCTATGATACAGGTGTTGGAATGTTTAAAGATGTCCTGGAGGTTCCTAAGCCTCTCCTCATTTTTTTTTGAATTCTTGTTTCTTCATTCTTTTCTTTTTGGATATTTCTTTCTTTCTTCTGGTCCACACTGTTGATTTCAGTCCCAGTTTCTTTCCCATCACTATTGGTTCCCTGTGCATTTTCCTTTATTTCACTTATCATAGCCTTCATTTTTCCATCTAATTTGCAACCAAATTCAACCAATTCTGTGAGCATCCTGATTACCAGTGCTCTAAAGTGTGCATCTGACAGGTTGACTATCTCTTCGTTGCTTAATCATATTTTTTCTGGAATTTTGTTGATCTGTTCTTTCATGTGGGCCATCTTTCTTTGTCTTGACGCACTTGTTATGTAGTGAGGGGCAGAGCCTCAGGTGTCCTCCAGGGTGGGGCAACCCACATGGCTGGGTTGTGACTCTGTATGTGGGGCAGGGGTCCAAGAGAGAACAACGGCACTTGCTCTGCTCTCTGCCAGATTTCAGTCATTTCCCCCACATCCCCCAAGCAAACTGGGCCCTTCTGATGATGATTTCTGAATGGGTGGGCTTGTGTAGGTTCTAGGACCCTGTGGGTCTGTCCAGTGAATTCTCCTGTGAGGCTGGGAGTTTCTCCTGCTGGCTCCTCAACCCCCACAGGTGTTTTCAATCAGTGGTTTGAAGCTTCATTTCCCCCTCACTGGGTCCCTGGGTTGCAAGGTCTGTCTCGTTCCCCAGTTTCACCTCGTTTATCTGCCTCAAATGTAGAACTGCCCGTCCACCAGCTGCCTTGTGCACCAGGCCCCTCCACTATTGCCACCTTGATGGGTCTACCTGCTGCCTCCTTGCGCACTGGGATCGACCAGCTGCCACTTTGCCTCAAGCACTCCCTGCCAGGCCACCCAACTCCGCCCCTCCTACTGGTCTGGATGAATGTTTCTTCTTTAACTCCTTAGTTATCAGACTTCCATACAGTTCAATTTTCAGTCATTACTGGTTGTGTTTTTGTTTCTAAATTTTTGTTGTCCATATTTTGGTTGTGCAAGGAGGCATAGTGTGTCTACCTACACCTCCATCTTGGCTGGAAGTCCTTGACAAGGTGTTTTAAAGGAGAGTTCTACCATGTATTTTCTCAGTGATAAATATTAACGTCACAAATATTTTATACTCATTAGAAAAGTATTAGTACCTACCAAAGCTTAATCATGAGATCAAATCAATTGCAATTATAGGGTCCTAAAGCTGGATGGGATCCTAGTGATCACTTTGTCCAATTCCTTTACTCTTCACACAAAGAAACAGACCCAGACAAGTCCCTTTCTTAAGTTCTATACCACTTTAATTCCAAAAACAGAACTAGAGCCCAGTTTGTCATTCCTCTACTGCCTCGTGTTGCCATTTGCTTTGTATCAAATTTTACTATTATTTCATTGATTATATACTCTAAATGAGACACATGGGGAAAACTAGGAAATTATGTTCCACTAATGATAATAAGTAACTGAAAGTTTATATATTTCCTTAATTTTTTGTGTTTCTTAAGAAATCCTTTCTTAGAGAATACTGCCTGGCTTTCTCAGGCAATGCCAAGAATTTCAAGCTTTACTCTCTACCATTAACAATAAGATTTAACTTCCCCCAAAGTTTTTATTTCAAGTGTCATTTTGTGAAAGTGGAAAAGTTAATTAAGAATGTAGCTATTCAAGTTTTCTTAGGTAACTTTCAGGTTCTTTTCACACATCTAAAGAAAAATAATGGGATTTGATGCAGTTAACTATATTTAAGGTATTCTGGATTGTTAACAGGTTATAAATTTTAATCAAAGAATGAGCCCTACAAAAAAACATGTATAAGAGATCTGAGCAATTATTTGTTTCATAGAAAGAGATCAGTGAATAAAATTTTTATCTTAAAAAAGACTTAAGGTATTCAGAGAATAAAGGCTGAATACTTTTAATTCATTAACATTTTTATTTATAGTTTCAGTGAAACTATAAAAGAGATTCACTAAAATTCACTAAAAGAGATCCACAATTCACTAAAAAGATATTTAATTAGATGGTGCTTCCCCTCCTTGAAGCCATATATAAGATGTGACTGGAAAAATAAGACTGATTATCTAGTACAACCCATATTTGTGTGCATGTGCACGCACACAAACAGAGTATATGTGTATTATGAGGTCTATATAGAAGGTATCCAGCCATGTTATGTTAAAAACAGAGACATTTATTGAAGAAGATACAAGACACAAGAAACACTGTACATAGGACAATGATGCCTCTGTCCCCTTAAAGTAGGCATCTTGGGACCTCACACAGTTCTCCCAATTGCCATCAGCTGCCCCATCAAATTTTCCTGAGTCTCATCAATAGTCTGAAAGCTATTCCTTTCCAAGATGATTTTAGTTTTGGGAAAAGCAAGAAGTTACAGGATGCCAAATCTGGGCTGTAAGGGTACTGAGTCACCTGGGTGATTTGATGTTTCGACAAAAAACTCTCCACAAGACATGATACATGAGCAGGCGAGTTGTCCTGATGAAGCTGCCAGTCACCCATTGCCCACAGCTGTGGCCTTCTGGATCATATGAATAGTTTCCATGGAGGAATGTTCAAGTTTAAAGCAAAATCTGATGCAGATTTGTTGCTCTACTTAGTCACTTTGACTGTGATGGCCACATAGTACACATGCTCACTCAATGGTGTCTGCCTCCTCCACTGACCAGTAGTGAAGTTGTTATTGTTCACGCATGCACATTCCAGCCCACTCTCCTTGGCTACCAGGTTACATTGATGTCCTGCAAACTGTTCTCATTATATTAACAATGGCTGGACTTTTTCTGGACAGGCGTCATATTCATGTAATTTTAATATTTTCCTTCAGATTTACATGACTGAATATTCATATGAGTATTTCACAATAACTTGCCTCTTACCATGAATTATAAATAACCACTAATAAGTTCTCCTAATAAATAGTAGTCCCTGAATAAACTGATCAGAACATAAGTAAATTTAGGAGAGGAATAATGAAAAGTACTTCAATCTTCTATAAGGTAAATGCTGACAATTTATTTTTAGGAAACAGCAGCAACAGTGCTTAGACTAGTGCTACTTAGAGCTGAACCAAAGACCACAATTCAAATGGGAAGGTAAGGTACATTCTAATAAAACTCTACTTTTTAACAATCATCAGCTAATAATTCCAATAATAATGACATGATGACAAAATATATTAGTTGCACATACTCTTGATTTAACCTTTAATAAGGAGAACATCTAAAAGAGAGGACCCCCAAAAAACCCAGAATTATATTCTGGAGGGTGGGCCCCTTGTAGCATAGGTTTCCCCCACTAGATGAGTGTTCTAGGAACCCCCTGTATCAGTGTACCAGCTGGTGTTGTTGTGGGAGGTTGCATTCGGGTTCAGTGAATTTTTTTTTTTGAAGACTCAACGCTTTGCCCATATCATGATGGGTGATTTACAAGCATACCTGCCCACACCCTGCTAAGTGTTCAATAGTTTTTGACCAAAAAACAGCTTGACCCTTGGCACCACCCTGCCCATTCACTTGCTATTGCCCTGAGATACTTTTTTTGTTTTCCCTGATGAAAAATTCCTCAAAGGGAAACTTTTTGCCAATGTGGAAGAGGTGAAACAAAAAAACAGCAGAAGCACTAAAAGCCATCAAAATCGACAAGTTCAAAAACTGTTTTGAGCCGTGGTAAAAAGTCTCAATAGGTGTATTGCATCAAATGGAGATTATTTTGAAGGTGACTTTGAAGGTGACTGAAGGTGACTTTGAAGTTTAAACATGTAAGAATATGCAGTTTTTTATAAATAAATTTAATTTTGGGGGGTACCCCCTCGTATATACCTTGTAAAAGTATGAAATCATGAATGTGAATGATAAACACCAAATTCAAGAAAATGCTAACATCTGCAAAGTGAAGGGAAAAAATGAAATTGAGGAAGGGGATATAGGGGACAATAACTATATCTGTAACATTTTAACTAAATTGATGGGCCTACAAGTGTTCCTGTTCTTATTCTCTATACTTTTTTGGTATACCCTATATTTTATTAATTAAAAAAGGCAATTTCCATTTGAAAATATCTTCAGTAAAACCACTAAAAAAATAAAATAAAACAAAAACTAAAACCAAGTTTATTGATACAGAGAACAGATTAGTGGTTGTCAGATGTATGGGTTGGTGGGGGTTGGGGTGGAGAAATGGGTAAAAGGGGTCAAAAGATTTTTTAAAATAAGAAAAAGCAAATATCAAGTAAATATATTGCTTTATGAAGTTGTATAAGTCACCTCCCCTACCAAGTGCAATTGCCACCTGAACCAAAAAAAATAGAATACTACTTAATACCCCCAAAACACCCACCATATGTCTGGTCCATTCACAGCTTTCTCCACCTTCCCCAGATCAAACACCATTCCAACTTCCATAGCAGTCACTTACTCACTCCATTGCCTCAGCAGCAAAATATATATCTCATATATTAGAGCCTAGTACTGCCCATTTGTTATTTGGTGTTATTTAAATATCTTTAATCCACATATTCTCCCTCCATTCCTGTCCTTCTCTTACAATTTATTGTTGAGGAACCTATAGAGTTACTCACAGTCTAAGTTTGCTGATTGCATACTGAAAATGCAGTTCATCGTGTTCCAAACAGCTGGATCAAGAGGCTTGATCCTTTTGGCAAGACTATAGGAGTTTTTTCATCAGATGGCACATAATGTCTGCATATACCTCCTTTTGACATGCTATCAGCCCTTGATATTCATTGCCTATACCCTAGAGCCATTAATATATTGGGATTTGCAAAATGGTGATATTCTAGCTTTGTTCCCACTTATTAGCAGGATGATTTAAAAAAAAAAGACATTTTCCTCATCTACAGTATGCTCACCTATATAGTATTGTACATTCTAATTTGAATTTTTTGAGGACCTCTTCCCTGAACTCCAAACTCATATATCCAGCTGCCCATTCCACATGTCTGTTGAATGTCTGATAGGCATCTCAAACTTAAGTCTAAAACCAACCATCCTCCTGCAGTCTTCCACACATCAACTTTCCAGTTCTTCAGGCTTGAAACCTTTATGATCCTTGACTTTTCTCTCTTTTCCGACCAAATCCAACCCTTCAGCAAATCCTGTTGCCTTTACCTTCCAAATATATCCAGAATCTGACAATTTCCACCAATACCATAAGAACCCCATTACCATCATTTCTTGCTTGGGTTACTCGTTATAAAGTTAGCTTCATTTTTTTGTTGTTGTTTTGTTTTTTACTTTTAAAGATTGTATTCAAAATTTAATTCAATAACATTTTCTAATTATGCAAAGTTATATGGTTCCAAAGTCAAATCTACAAAACACATTCCTTTAAGAAGTCTAATTTTCATTCTTTTGCTATCCACACTGCACTCCTTCTACCTCTTATATAGGTTATCATTTTGGTAGGCTTTTAGTTTATCATTTTCTTTCCTTTTTTCTATAAGAGACACACATATATATTTGTACTTCCCTTGATCATATATGAGAATGATAGATAAATGGTTGTACATCATACATACTCTCTCTCCTTTGCTTTTGTCAGTTAACAATATACCCTAGACATCAAATATTCATGTTTTTAACATTTAAAGATGGTTTTTGAATGTTACTAATAACATACTTAGCAAAATTTAAAATATCTCCTTTCATATCCATCATCAATTTACTTCAAATCACATATATAACTTTGATAGAGATGGTAGAATTAGCAATTTTTTCAGCAAAGACTTCTCCCAGCTTAGAAATAAAAATATTTTCCAAGTGGGGATTTTGTGTATTAGTCAATATCATCATTAAAAATATTTATAGTATATTGTATTCACGATACCTTATGAAGGTATTTATATTGAAGTAATATAATTTTCTGCCTCTAGGTTAAATTTTCTGTGTGTTTCTGAGTTTCTCATTCTCATGTATATCCACATTAGCATTTGACCAGGTCTGTTATCTGTTAACTATTTGGAAAAAAAAGTGTTCAAAACAACTAAATTAAAGCCTAGGCAGCAATCAACTATTTTTGTTGCCATTTCCCTAAAGTTTCTGGATTGTCAGGCAATAAAAATGTAGGCACTTTCCAAGAGTCTTCTAGCCTCTTAATATGTGACTCTGAGAAGGCACAAAAGGTCTAGAAGTGGGAGTGGTCAGGATAAGCATACTAGAGGGAAGTTTAATTTCTTTTCCTCAACTTGTCATATTCCCCAATATATTTGGTATGTATTGGCAGTTTACAACATTTAAATTCTAATCTATCATGATAGAAAGCCAAGAAGTGCCAAAATTGGATATATCTACCTAAAAATATAGGGACAGTAAAAATCAGTGAACATAGAATTTTCTATATGATCAGAATCTTGATTCAAGCATGGAATATGATTATATTTGATTTGAGTTTTAGAGTTTTCTATATCTATATGATATTATGAGTTTTCTCTTTATCATAATTTATTATTTATATAATTTATTTTAAATACTATTCAAATTTTCTATTTTTATTTAACACAATTTAAGTTTTCAAATATATGAAAAACATTCTAATTATTCTGATTATAAAATTTAACTATGTAGCTTTTATACTGTTAATGGGAGCTTGAAGACAAAATAAAATTTGCTGCATAGGTACTTAATTTCTTTAATATTATCATGTAAATGAATGTATTCTTTTCAAAGCTTTGTCTATCATAGTCTCTTTATTGATGGAATCATTTACCTATGTGCCTCAGACAATGCATTGGATAGTGTAACACCATCTGCATTTCTTAAAAATGTAAGTAATTTCTTATATTACTTTAAAGACCTTTTCAGTATCTGAAATTATGAAGTCTCTATTTTAGTTTATTAGTGATAATGTCACCAAACAAAAAGATCATTCATCTGTCTATAAAGCATAGCCATTAATGACCTTCAGAGATTTCATACACTCATCCCTCATTTGTCTCCTGCTTCCATACTTCCCCCAGCTCTGAAGAAGGTCTGTAAAGACAATACACTCAGACCTATTAGAATCTCTCTGTATATTTATTTTCTTCTTTCAAAGTAAGAAAGAAATGAAGCTTTACTAATATTTAAAATATTTTCTTTAAAAATGTTTTTAAATAAAGACCTTATTTATTAATTTCTTGAGAAAAGGGAAGGGAAGGAGGAAGAGAGGGAGAAAAACATCAGTCAGTTGTGGGAACGGGCCTGACTCACAACCCAGGCATGTGCCCTGACTGGGAATCGAATCAGTGACCTTTCAGTTTGCCAGCCAATGCTCAACCCATGGAGTCACACCAGCCAGGGCTTAAAATACTTTTTCAATAGCATATGTATTTAATTTACAAATAATTATATATAACACTTCTGGAAGAAAACATTAATTAATTATGAGTTAAATGAAAGAATTTTGTAAATCAAGACAAACTATCTTTAGGGAAAGTTTTCCCTGAAAATTAACAGCAAATATAAAATATGGTAAAAAGAGGACTTATGTATATGAGGTCTGTCCAGAAAAAGTCCAGCCATTGTTAATATAATGAGAACAGTTTGCAGGACATCAATGTAACCTGGTAGCCAAGGAGAGTGGGCTGGAATGTGCATGCGTGAACAATAACAACTTCACTACTGGTCAGTGGAGGAGGCAGACACCATTGAGTGAGCATGTGTACTATGTGGCCATCACAGTCAAAGTGACTAAGTAGAGCAACAAATCTGCATCAGATTTTGCTTTAAACTTGAACATTCCTCCATGGAAACTATTCATATGATCCAGAAGGCCACAGCTGTGGGCAATGGGTGACTGGCAGCTTCATCAGGACAACTCGCCTGCTCATGTATCATGTCTTGTGGAGAGTTTTTTTGTCGAAACATCAAATCACCCAGGTGACTCAGTACCCTTACAGCCCAGATTTGGCATCCTGTAACTTCTTGCTTTTCCCAAAACTAAAATCATCTTGGAAAGGAATAGCTTTCAGACTAATGATGAGACTCAGGAAAATTTGATGGGGCAGCTGATGGCAATTGGGAGAACTGTGTGAGGTGTGAGGTCCCAAGATGCCTACTTGAAGGGGACAGAGGCATCATTGTCCTATGTACAGTGTTTCTTGTGTCTTGTATCTTCTTCAATAAATGTCTCTGTTTTTAACATAACATGGCTGAACACCTTCTGGACAGGCCTCGTATGTACTTATGTGGATACGTAAGACTTCATAAATTTCTTAAAGGGTTATCAACCTTCTCAATAGCTATCACCTGTTGCTCACTATCACCCAGAGTTTGATCTCCAACTAGAATAAGACTTTGTGTAAGTCAGCCTCAGTAACATACAAGGGCTAAACCATTGTTCTGGTGACTTTATGGTCCACATAGTATGTTTTTTTATTTTTTAAAGTAAATATTACTAATATTCCATTTTATTTTTAAATATGTGATTCAGGATCAATATTTTAATAAAATACTAATGGAAAAATCAGTCAGCTCTAAAATAATTACTAAATGTCATTCTTCAGTCAAGTCACATTCATGAATCATACATATATTTTATTTGTGTTGTGTACCAACTTGCTTTAATGTAGCTCAAACTGTAACTATATTCAGAATCAAAAGTTATTAGGCCTAATATTGTCACTCTACAGTGAGTGACAGTTATGCCTAGACAATTCTTAGAGTTGATGCTAAACACTATAAGCCATTTAATTGACTATAATTTTTTCTCTATTCTATTATGACAAAACATCCCAATTTTACTGCCTTTCCACAATCAGATGACACAAGATTGCTAAATATAATTTTTACCACTACCTCTGGGAAATACAACACTTAGTACAAACTGTCAAAATTTTTTCTTGAAATCTTGCAATATCTTATAATAATTCTACAGGGTTTGAAAGATGGTATCATGACATATAGCTGGGATTGTTTTATTGTCATTGAATGGCTTTTGAGGGTAGGATCAGGAAAGGAAAATAAGTGCTTATTTGGAAAATATCATAGACTCCCATGTTCCCTTGTTTGCCAGAGGTGAATATCTCCTCTTTCTGTCAAGTCTTCAGATAAACCAAAGAATTAAGGAAGCATATGTGATCTCACAGTATGAGGTTGTAACCTATATTACAGCAGTGGAGAAGGCTGGACAGCAGTTTTCATAAATACTGCATCTTTAAATAGAAAGGACACTCTGCCACCAAAAATCTTGAAATGTCCTGGTTTCTTTTATTTCAGGTCTCTGCCAGACTTGGCTTTGAATAAACATTAACTTGTAATTACCCATTCAAAATTATTTATATAGTTTAAATATTTCCATTTTCACTTCCCCAGGTTAGCGATATTTTTCTGAGAAATCCTTTGATGTCACAAGAACATTTTTCTCCTTCAAATGCAGTTGCTGCTGATTTTCAGCAAGTATTAGGGAAGTATATGGTATGTGATTCCAACTGTATTCCTAAACATCATTAGCATTGTAGCTGTCAAATCAGTTTGGACTTTTGGGTTAAGGGCTATAAGATGAATGAGAACTGAGACTTCTATCTTTATATAATAAGTAATGATATCCATGATATATTGATAAGTTAATAAAGCAAGATAAAGTATGTATGGTATACTATTACTTATTTACATATGTAATCTTTTAAGGAAGAGGGAATAAATGCAAATATATGTATTTGTTTGCTTATAGTATAAAAAATAAGGGGGCTAAAAGGGTACAAGGAAGGATAAACCAAAACCATTCCAATGGTTGCATATGGTAAGGATGGGAGGATAGGAAAAGAAACTAGACCTCTTTGAATGAAACTTGCTTTACAAATTTGACTTTGTAACCATGTATATATATTACATAATTTAAAAATACTATTAAAGCAAGTATTTAAAAGGTATCTCCTGTTAAATGAAGTAAGACAGTCACAAGAGGACAAAAATGTGATTCCACTTGTATGAGCTACCTAGAGTAGGTCAGATTTATATAGACAGCAAGTAGAATGATGACTGCCAGAGCCTGGAAGGAGGAGAGGAAGAAGAGTTATTATTTAATGGGTACCAAGTTACAGTTAGGGAAAATGAAAAATTTCTGGAGATAGTTGGTGATAATAATTGTATAACAATGTAGATATAGTTGATACCACTGAACTATATAGTACAAAAATTACTGAAATCAGAAATTTTATGTTATGTATATTTTAATATAATAAAAAATGTTTAATTTTAAAAAGTAATATCTAAAACTCAAAGCAAAAAATAATATAATAATAATCCTCTGGTCAAGATGGAGGTATAAGTAGACATGCTTTGTCTCCTTGTGCAACCATAGAAAGAATTACAACCATATCTCAAAGCTAACAGCACCCAGAATCATCAGAATATCAAGCTGTATTGAAGTCCAACAACCAAGGATTTAAAGAATACACATTCAGGGGAGCTTCCAGTCAAGATGGTGGTGTAGGCAGACATGGTTCACTTCTTTGCACAACCACATCAAAATCACAACTAAAATATAGAAAACCCATTACTCAAAACCATCAGAAATTGAGTTGAATGGAAGTCTGACAACTCCAGAATTAAAGAACCACATCCATCGAGACTGGTAGGAGGGGCACAGACACAGAACATGCTGGTCCCACATCCATGTTTGGTGGATAAAAATTCGATAGGGATATTTCAGTAGCGAACAGGCCCAGCACCATACCAGGGCCCCCAGCCCAGGGCTCTAGTGGCAAGAAGGTAAGTCCCCACAACTTCTGGCTGCAAAAACCAGCAAGGATTGAATTGGTGGAAGAAACTTCTGGAGCCCCAAGAAGTTCCCGTTAAAGAATCCACATACTGGACTTCCGGCCAAGATGGAGGCATAGGTGGATGCATCATACCTCCATGCACAACCAAAATAGGGACAACAACAATTTAGAAACAGAATAACATCCAGAAATGACAGAAAATTGACCTGAATGGAAGTCGGACAACCAAGAAGTTGAATTAGACCCGTGCATCCAGACCAGTAGGAGAGGTGGAGATGAGCAGCCAGGCACGGGTCATGGCTCAGAGAGCAGAGAGTGGTGGGACCAGGTGCATAAGGCATCCGGGGGTGCATAAGGCATCTGGGGCATGCAAGACCACAGCTGGCAGACCCCGGCCCAGGGGTGGCAACCAGCAACCAGCAGACCCAGTGAGGCAGCGATTATAAAGCAAGGCAGTACACACAATTCAGGATCACAGTACTGGGAAATAAAGCCTCGGGACACTGATTGAGCTCACTTGTGGGAGTTGAGGCACATGGAGAGACACCCAGACTCACAGGGAAGGTCCTTGGAGGGTCTCACAGTGTGCAAAAGGTCACCCACATGGGAATTGGCACCAGAAAGGCCCAGTTTGCTTGGGAGAAGCAGCAGAGGGGACTGAGGTCCCACGGAGAATGGAACACCGCCATTGTTCCCTCTCAACTCCGCCTCCACATACGTCACAACCCAGCAACTGGGGTGCCCTGCCCTGGTGAACACCTAAGGCTCCACCCCTTACTGTAACAGGTGTGACCAGACCAAAAAAAAGACAGAGAGAGATAGCTCAAACAGAAGAACAAATCAAAGCCCCAGAACCCATCATTTTAAGTGACCAAGAGATACCCAACCCATCAGATGCACAGTTCAAAACACTGGTGACCAGGATGCTCACAGACTTGGTTGATTTTGGTCACAAAGTAAATGAACAAATGCAAGCTACAATAAGAGAAATGAAGGAAAATGCATAGTAAACCAATAGTGATGGGAAGGAAACTGGGACTCAAAACAATAGCATGGACCACAAGGAAGAAAGAAACAACCAGACAAGAAAGAATGGAGAAATAAGAATTCAAAAAAATGAGGAGAAGCTTAGGAACCTCCAGGACATCTTTCCAACATCTGAATTATAGGGGTATTAGAAGGAGAAGAGGAAGAGCCAGAAATTGAAAAATTATTTGAACAAATAATAAAGGAGAACTTCCCCATTCTGGCAAAGGAAATAGACTTCCAGGAAGTCCAGGAAGCTCAGAGAGTCCCAAAGTAGTTGGACTCAAGAAAGAACACAACAAGGCACATCATAATTACATTAGCCAAGTTAAAAATGAAGGAGAGGATCCTAGAAGCAGCAAGAGATAAGGAGACAGTAACGTACAACGGAGTTTCCATCAGACTGTCAGTTGATTTCTCAAAAGAGACCTTGCAGGCAAGAAGGGGCTGGAAAGAAGTATTCCAAGTCATGAAAGACAAGGACCTACATCCAAGATTGCTCTGTCCAGCAAAACTTTCATTTAGAATGGAAGGGCAGATAAAGTGCTTCTCAGATAAGATCAAGTTAAAGGAGTTCATCATCACCAAGCCCTTATTATATGAAATGTGAAAGGGACTTATCTAAGAAAAAGAAGATAAAAAACATTTATAGTAAAATGACAGCAAACTCACAATTATTAACAAACACACTTAAAACAAAACCAAAAGAAACTAAGCAAACAACTTGAACAGGAACAGAAGCACAGAAATGGAGATCACATGGAGAGTTAGCAACAGGGGAGTGGGAGGGGAAGAGAGGGGGAAAAGGTACAGAGAATAAGTAGCATAGATAGTAGGTAGAAAATAGACAGGGGGAGGGCAAAAATAGTATGGGAAATGTAGAAGCTAAAGAACTTATGACACATGGACATGAACTAAAAGGGGGGTATGTGGGTGGGAGAGGGTATACAGGATGGAGGGGAGTGAAGGGGGAAATTGGACAACTCTAATAGCATAATCAATAAAATATATTTTAAAAAAAGAATACACATATAGACTCACTTACTTAGACTCACTCCCTCTGAGCTCCAACACTGTGGTGGCTGCTTGAAGAGCACTAGAAGCATACTGAAAAAGGCTGAAGTGTCAGGGCAAGCAGAAGCCATTGTCCCTTATCTGAGCCTTCCCCATGGAAAGGCTCAGAGCCTTGGAGCTGGCAGGCTGGTGCCATATTTGAGACTCTATCAAACTAACTAACACTGTTTGACCTCCTTAGAGATTCCCAGAGACTCTACCCCACCCAATTTGGGGGCTACCCAAACTGCTTTTCCATATTAATGGTGAGTCTTCATTCATGCTTCACAACTTCCTAAATCCTGTCAAACAAGCATCAGCAGCCAGATTAGCTTCACAGATTGGCTTCACTTCGGAATCTCCCAGCCCAGCACAAGTAGTAGCCATCTCAGATTGCTTTATAGCTCAGGAAGGACAGCCCCATGCAAAACACAGGCAGGGGCTGACCTTGGCCTGCACCACCCAGAAAACCCCAGGGCCAGTGCACCCAGTGGACAGCTACAGACAATTTCAGAGCTCTGCCACTCTGTCCCTGCAAAGCTGATCCTGTACAGAGGGTGGATGTTGGTGGCAAGTGTTCACAGCCATATTTGCAGCTAACTGGCCTGGGTAAATCCCTTCCATTGATCTGCCACAGCAACCAAGGCTCAACTATAAGAGGAGGATGTATTCAGCCCACAGGAAGGGCATACCTCGAATACCCAGAATGGGTGATAGAGGAGACTGTGCCACTGAACCGTATAGGACACCTACTACATTAGACCACACTACCAAGATATGGAGTCAAAGCAACTCTACTTAGTACATAGAGACAAATACAGGCTGTCAAAATGAAGAGACAAAGAAACGTGGCCCAAATGAAAGTACAGATCAAAACTCCAGAAAAACATCATGGCATCATTGAAGAAACAACTGTAGCAGAAATGCAGACAATACAGAAACTGTTGGTTTTGCAAAATGACCCACCTCCTGGGATGACTTTAAATGAAAAGAGTGTGCAAAATTCAATAGCACAGTGAATTGTAGACATGGAAGGTGCACCATGTACATTATATGAAGGGGGAAAAATTCAACTTCTACTTAAGTCTAATAATCAATATTCTTTTGACTCTCCTCAGGTCATGTTTACAGGTTAAAATATTCCCATCCATCCTCATGTTTGTAGCAATGGTCACATCTGTTCACCCATTCTAACAGAAGAGTGGTCCCCAGCACAGTCAGTGCAGTTTGTCTTAGCATTATTAGCATGCTTTCCAGCTGCAAAGAAAAGAGATGACCACCAGATAATTCTTTTTGCTTGAACATGTAACAAGAATCCAAAGAAAACAAAATCATGGTATCATGATGATATGTGTTGATGCCACTATTACCATCCTCCTAGCAGAAGACAGTCCTACTGAGAAAATGAGCATTTTGATCATTCAGTCTTCGAACTTTAACCTTTGACTGAAAGTGACCTATAGGCAATAAAGACTACTTCCTTTTACTCCATTTTTACTCGTGTGCATTCTGGGCACATGTTGATCGCTGGTTCAGTCCGGACAACTGACGTGCTTTTATTAGTCATATAGTATCAATGCAGGTATTAGGTAATGTCAAATATAATTCTGTTTT